CTCCTCTGAATTGCGACACATTTAAAATTTTCGTGGCTTGGGCTGAATGAAATCTGGATGTCTTGCCAAGTGGGTAACACTTATAAACATATATAAGTGATCTGGCATATCACTGAAGTCACTAGTAAGCATGTTTCCAGAACAGTAGATAGTCTGACTCTTGGCAGAGCTTCTCTGACACTAGGTGAGACTCACTAAAACAAACTTTGATTACCATGACTTCTAGCCTACATATCTAGACAGATTGTAGCAGAAGCAAAAGTATTTTTCTCTGCAGGTCGGTCTTGCCACGCTCCACTGGAGCCTCGGCAGGCTCGAACAGTCTGGTGTCTTGCCAATCACTGTTTGGTGGGTGGGATGTTACTATAACTGAGCGAAACAAAGATGGCGGCAGCTCGTTTTAAACTGCTTTGCCATACAGACATGGGCCTTTCTGTAAGACAAGAGCAGGTACAGGTACTTAAGTTTATTTAGAAAAAGGATGTATTTGCGACTTCTTCAACAGTGTATGGTGGACTGCCTCATTCACTAACATCCATGGCAGTAAGTATGTCATGTTTAGGGTTGGGCGTAGTTTGATTTTAAACAATTCCGATTCCAATTCCTTGCTTCGATTCCAGTTCCTATCGATTCCCGATTCCGATTCTTTCAAGACATGACATGTTTTAAATGAGCCAGCTAACCACAGGTCCTACTTGATGAAATAATCTTAACTTCAACATGAATTTTAACTCTACGAACAACATCATCACCTTCATTTAGACAAAAACATGTTTTGGAGAGAAAAAGAAGACGACTTGCAGCACAACCAGTGTGTTTGTTTCTGACCACAACCAAAGTCTGGAAGCAGCCTCTGGGATGAGAGGCTAAATGTCTGCAACATATCCAGAAACGTGCAGCTGTTTTCAGCTAAAACTCTCAGGATGATCATGTCCAGGATGACTGAGAACTACACCTCCATGCTGCAGCAGCACTCAGTCAGAACAGGAAGTGAAACTTAAACGTAGCTGGCTGCGTCTGACTGCTGACGCTCCGTGTGTGTTTTTATTTCTGCAGTGAGACAAACTCACCTCGCACCGTCCAGAGTTTGTTCTTTAAAGCTTCTATTAAATCCACCGTGTTGACGTATTTAACACGTTTCCTCTACGCTGCAGGAGTTAACGTTTACATTACGGAGTAAAGGTTCGGCAGATGCCTTTGTTTATATTTGGCCGCTGTGCGCCGGGTGGGGGGAGGGGCGACTCGGTGCTGCACACAGACAGCTGGTGTGGTCAGCTCTGAAAAACGTTGATCGCAATTTGCAGATCTCGTTTATTTTTCACGGAGATCAGCCGCGGATTCCTCTTCCGCATTCTAGGAATCAAAACTAGGAATCGAAATGAAAATCTTTGAACGATTCCGGGAAAAGTGAACAGTTGGAACCGGTTCCATTCGATGCCCAACCCTAGACTCATGTTGTTCGTTGTCCAATAGCATGCGGAGACAGTTTGAAAGATGACAGTAAATTCTGCCCCATGACTAAGCTCTGTCTATGGGCCGTGGCCATACTATATATTCACATATGTAGGATGGCTCACTTGACTTCAGTTTTTGACATCTTCCAGAATGGTAACTGAGATTATTCACAGCTAATCTTCTGGGTGCTAACACAATACCTCATGATAATGAGATTCAGCATAGCAAGTCTAACTTGACCTATAACTATAATTTCTCAACATCAAATATCCTATGCTTAAAATAAAGATGCGTCAATAACATCCTCCGGGGATTGGAAACGATCAATAATCAGCATGATCATCCAGTCGGAGGTGGCCAAAACCTGGTTGAGTTGGCGAGAGCTGTACAAGAATCTGTCTGAAATGTTTAGCTTGTTGTTCTCATATATGTAGTAAGTCAGCCTCGCCTCTTTTTGTTAGTTCCTGTAACTCAACAATCCATTAGGATTTAAGATGGAGCAGAAAAGCCAGCTTTCCACAGGTCATTGAAAAGACCATTAGCAATCAATTTTAACTGGTGCTTCGGTAATGGAATCAACATGACTCGTGTCCTGAGAACGATTCACTCCTATTGTGTGTCAGTTCTTGTGCCCAGCACAATACTTGTGAGAAAATCTCCTGTAATTTGTAGCCTAGTTATAAATTCAGCTTGAGCGCATTCACTTAACACCCCTTTATATGCGTGTAGGACGAGCCAGACAGGCGAACCCCACTGCGCACGCTGTAACGGCAGTAGTACCCCCGGCTCATTCTCCACCCCCTGCTGAGACTCTGGGTGTGCCCATATGTGATCTGAGTCGTGTCTGGCTCTCGCTCATGAGGGGGTAAAGGTTTCTGTCTGCTGCCGTTGCACTCAACCCGTGAACTGCTGATGGAGCAAAAGCAGCCTGCATTCTTTGCTGTAAACAGCTGTAAAGACGCTGCTGTACTAGAGAAGCTTTTAGCATTTTTGATGTTTTTACAGATTCACATTGTTTTGCGATGGTTGAAGGTTCATTTTTAAAGACCACGTCCCACTGTAGTCCTGTTTTATTAGCCGTCTGCTCCTTGGCGGTTGACATTTGGCTGCTGAAGAGCAGAAGTTTTGGGTAATTCACTTATAATCCAGTGCTGTGGAAGAGAACGCTATAACAGTAAAGTCTCTAGCACACAGGTCTAATTGCATTATCTGCAGCACACCATCTGATGCCCTGCACGCTGCGTCTAGTCTCTTTCTCTTTTCGTCTTCATTCATCTGTTTCTGACTCCCACACCCTAACCCTCACATCTATCATTTAATGGTTTTCACACTCTTTACTGGAAGTCATTATTTAATAATGACTGTAAAGTTTCAAGTGTTGAATTAGTTCTGTGTAATATTTATGATGCAGCCATGAAAATATGATTCTCTTTTAAACTCTGTTTGGATTATAAAACAGTAAAATAATAATGATTCATTTAGTTTCCTGCTTGTTGAAACTAACTTAAACTTTATCAGAAATTCTCCTGAGTTTCTTAAACCAATCACGTTTTCTCTGACTCAAACATCTGATTCACCAAATTTAACTCAAATGGCTTTTATGCAGAATTATTTTATGGGGGCAAAAGGTTTTTCTTTAAATGCTGCTGCTGTTAAGGACATGTTATAAACTAGTTTTATTTATTAGGTTTTAGTTAGCATAAGCCTCTTGTGACCTGGACATTGCCTCTTTGTTTTCTTTGGCCAGAGTGGGTTATTGCTGCAGTGGATAATCATGTATTATAAACCTTTAAAGAGGCTAGAAGTCATTGACGTTGCCTGTGTGCTCTCGTTAAGTACGGGGTTAGGGTTAGCGAATCTAACAGTGGCTCATGTCGCTGTTAAATTAATACAACAAACGCTCGGGGAGGACTTCCAAGAGGTTTGGGACATTTGAGTCAAGTAAAAAAGATGCTTGCCTACATATTCTCACATATACCGGCTGATTAGTGTCAGCACAGCATGAATCAGTTCAGAGCTTTTTACTTTGGCAGAAATTAATCTAGAGATGTGAACGTAGCACTGTCCTACCGCTATAAAGGCTAAAGCTATCTGGGCACTGAGCTTTTTATGAAATGTGTGTGTTGTGAGGTTTCCATGGCATTTTTGTGGTGCCAGTCTCATGATCTTCTGATGGCGCTTCTCCTCGCAGACAGAACAGCACCAGATATTAGCCACCCCCATCTTTAGCCTGTCTTTTCTTCAGAAGCTGGTTCATACAGAACCCCGCCTGTCAGTTTTCCCACTCTTGCTCTCATTACGTTGAGCCAAGTGAAACGTGGACATCTAGCAGTGCTGGCACACCTCTTTCATGATTCCAGACGGCCAGATCTAAAACCAGCTGTGAAAGTGTGGCACCAACACAAAGCACCTACAAGTCAGAGCTCCATAAAAATAGCAAGAATATGCCTTCTTGTTAGGATTTCAGCAGGATTTACTTTGCTAGGCTAGCTAATGAAAAGGGCATGCTGTTCAGTAAAGTATTTTTATTGGAACGGTGTTGCGTACTCACACATTTATCCTGGGCTAAACTAACCGTGACTTTGGACACTGCTAATTTATGTTTCTTGACCTTATTGTACAGACAAGTGTCTACACAGGCCACGGTTTAAAGGACACAAGCATTTTATCTGTACCATGTAATTGGATCCCACTTGTTTAGCATAAACCTGTCCTGTCACTTAAAACAAAAATGGCAAAGCCTTCGCTTTCATTTGCATTTTCATGGCTAAACTTCATGTCAGGCCCTGATGGGCTCAAAGAGCTGCCTTCCCCTGAAAAGAAGGAGGCCCAGTTCCAGTGCAGGGTTTCCACGGGCCTGCAGACCCCCCCTCCACTTCCCACACAGGCTAGAGCTGCAGAGTCGGAGTGCGATTGGCTCTGTTCTTCAGGCAGCAGGGTAATGTCACCCTGGTTCACCATCACGGCTCATTCTGTACTTTTATTCTCCTCAGAGCCTCTAAACGCCTCATTAGTCTTTAACAAGACTGCAGAGCCTACTCCAAACTCTGCTTTAACCCCCGCGTGTCCGGCCAACTTTCTGACTCCGACAGCGTCAGCTGTGGTTCTGAACACTTTCACGGTCTGTGCTCCACGTTAAGTCTGCCGTTTCAGCGTTCACATGCAGCCTGTTGGTTCTGTTTGTGATTCTGATCACTGTCCAACAGCAGTGGGATCAGTAGTGTGGGGGTTGATTTGGACTGAAGCCGTCTTCATAGACACCCAAACTGAATAGAGAACATTGATGCTTTCCTATCCTGCTGCTCCCCCTCGCTTGCTGTCCCTCGTTCCCTGAATGAGCCTTTCAGGACTCTAGGCTGAGATACAAAGCCTTCCTCTGCCAGTTAAAGATACAGGGTCCAGGTCCTCTTAAACAATCAGTCAGGTGCACAACACGCCAATCTAACAGTAACTAGTGTTTTCCTGCATCAGTGCGAAATCATTTTCGCTTATCTGTCTGTGGTTCTGATTCAGGACTAACGAAGCTGTCCCTCTCTCTGTTTCAGGGGGTCCCACAGCTCCCATGTGCCAAGGCGTTGTACAACTATGATGGTAAAGAACCAGGAGACCTCAAATTCAGCAAGGGTGACATCATCATCCTGCGCCGGCAAGTGGACGAGAACTGGTTCCATGGGGAGGTGGGTGGGGTGCACGGCTTTTTCCCCACCAACTTCGTCCAGGTCATCAAGCCTCTGCCTCAGCCGCCGCCTCAGTGCAAAGCTCTCTACGACTTTGAGCTCAAAGACAAAGAGGCTGACAAGGACTGCCTGCCCTTCTCCAAGGTGGGACACTGTCACTGCCACATGGTCAGAGTAGTAAAACAAAAATACCTCTCATTACAGTGACAATCTGTCTCGTAAGCCTTCATTTTCTAGAGTTATGTGTGTGTTAGAGTGTCAGGCCTTTTAGCCGAAACGCCCACAGCGACGGTTTGAATTCAGAGCCAGGCTTCTTGATGAGCAGCTGTGATTGGACTAGGAAGAATAAATGCCGTTTACGGCGAAGCAAAGCGTAACTACAGTGATTAAGCGTTCTTGTTTATCCAGCTGTTGAACCAGACTTGATTGTTTAGTATTCTTTCATCACTTTATGTGCCACATGAGCAAAAACAGAAACGAGCAGAGTCAGTGGTACCGAGACACGAAGTGTCCCTGTGACGAGTTCTTTCAGCACCCGAGTCTGTCCTGTTCTTCAGCTACCTCCTTCCTTCCATCATGTTGTTTTTGTTTCTGAAGCTGAAGCAGCACTCTCACACCGTCCTTCCAGCTCCTGTCTTCACACGTTGCTCTCTGCTGTGTGACTTTAGGATGATGTCCTGACTGTGATCCGGAGGGTTGATGAAAACTGGGCGGAGGGAATGCTTGGAGATAAAATTGGAATTTTTCCCATCTCATATGTGGAGGTAGGAAGGCAGCATTATTTTTCTGTTGGAAAACACCTGCTGAAGCTTTTCACATGAATGCCACTTTTGGATGAAATGAAGTGAATCTTTGCTAACTAAACATTTATTTTTCCACTTGGAAGCCATAACATGCTTCATTTATGAATGAATGAATCTAAAATGAGGATTATAAATAAGCCAATAAGAACAAAATAAGCCAAAATAAGGTATTTGCAGCAGTTTTGTTTAAATTTTGTCTTTGAAATTAAAATTTCTTCACAATAAAATAAACTGTAGTAGGACATGTTTATGTTTAGATTAGTTATTGAAGTACTGTTGCTCACTGATTATTGTTTTCATTGCATTAGAGGCTCCTTTGCTTACACCTGGTGTGTGTGTGTGTGTGTGTGTGTGTGTGTGTGTGTACGTGTGTGTGTGTAGTATAACGTTGCTGATGTGTGGGGCCTTAACCTCTACCTTTAACATCCTGACTTTAGTGATGAGCCGACAGACTCGGCTCCATCAGATCCAGCACTTCGACTTTTATCTTCTAAGTATAAAAAGCTGCTCGGGGCAAGTTGAAGAACCCTGTGATTACCTGAAACTGCTGCTGGGATGTTTTCATCTTCCTCAGGCACACCTTGCTGTGTCTGAAATGGTCACAAGCCAGCTGGCTCAGACCAGTTTGCTTCATCAAGATAAAGGTGTCTACACAGAAGGTGTAAGCAGCAGCCATCAGATGTTGTTGTATTCATACTTTTATCAAATAATCTACGAAATAATCAAGTAGAAACAACTTTGAAAATCCAAAACTCTCTGACACCTAACCTGAAGGCAGGTGAGCCCCTCATCCCTGCTGAGAATGTTCTTCACCAGAAACACGAGTCCACGAGTGTGAACAAACCAAAGGAAAAACAAGTCACTTTTTGTGTGTGAGGTATTTTTATTAAAGGATTTATCGTGTTTGAAGGGATGAATAAAATTGAACAGACTGACGTTTCTCTGCATTGCTAACTGTTTAATCTCTATTTTCATGGTAATCCTGGATGTGCTCCGTCTGATTGTGAATTCAGTAACCTGATGACCTCAGGGCTCATCGACCTGCCTGACCACAGAAGTCATCATTAATGCTCCTGTCTGTGCCACCCCTGCCCCCCCCTCCTCTCTTATAGTTCAACTCTGCAGCGCGTCAGCTTATCGAGTTGGACAAGCCGTCTGACTCGAGCGGAGACTCCGGTGAAGGGGCCTCCTTGGGGCCTCAGAGCAACGGTGCCCAGCGGCCAGGGGAAAAGAAGAACAGCAAGAAACGACATTCCTTCACTTCTCTCACTATGTCCCACAAACCCATGCTAGCTCCTCCTCCTCAGCGCCACTCCATGGAGATTAGCGGGCCGGTCCTCATCAGCTCCAGCAACCCCACAGCAGCTGCTCGCATAGGCGAGATCAGCGGGGGGCTTTCCAGCAGCGCACCTTCACAGGTGAGATGGCTCACCCGGAGGCAGAGTGAGAAGCTGTTGCACGTGGTTTACTGTCTGAAAATAAACCGACCGCCTGTTTCCGGAGCAAGAATTAGACTTCTCACACGACTTTGAAGGGAAGACATTCTCCCTTGTTGTGATGAATGTTGGGGAACTCGGCTGAAAGGAGGCACACTCTGAGCAGATCTTTGGCTCTTGTTCTGTTTTGATATTTATTGCCTTTAAAGGCACCACTCTCCCTCTGCTAGCAATTAGACCGTCTTCCCTTTTCCTCCGTCATTCCAGACTATCGCGATCAAACGCTCGGAATCATGGATTTGTAACTTGACTCATCCACAAAGTGGCTCCAGCTTGGCCCTCAAGGTTTCCACGCCAAGTCTGACATGAGAACAGGTCACAGCTGCTTTGTGGTTCCAGCGAGACGTTCAGAAGAACTCAGAAATATGTTCTCAGTTTTAGACCTGAACTATGAGCAGCTGAGAAAGTAGGAAGAAGAGTGTGAAATATCATCCTTTATGCTGATTAACCAGCAGATCAGTCCTGATTTGTTATTTCAGACATGAATTTGTTGTCACCAAAGACAGAAGTCATTTTAGACATTTTTAAACATTTCCAGGGCTTCAAAGTTAAACAGGAATAAACTATGAGACCACTTTAAATTCAAGCACTGCTTTTCCACAGATACTCTGCTGCTGGCTTATTCTACTGTTCTATGTTACTGTCTGCTTTGCATCCATTTTAAAGATGTTGTTGTTGTATGGAAACTCCCGGCTTTCTGCAGTGATTTGTTCCAAAGCCCTCCGTCAAGCTCCGTTATTAAACTTTTTCTGTACGGTGAGTTTCATGTTCTTCTCTGTGAGATGAAGACAAAAACAGTTCTTGTCTACAGCAGATCTTAAAAACCACATCCTTCTCATGTAAATGTCATTTGTGTGACTTCTGTCGACACAGAGGTTTGATTTATCGTCTGTTTTCCACCGTTTGCTATCAGGAGGCTTTTTAGAATAACAAACTTTGTTTTTGTAAAGTGATACTTCCTGCTGGCGGTCCGGTTGATTTACACATCGCTGTTTATGGAAAAGCTCGTCAGGCAGACTCTGTAGCCTCTGCATGCACAGCCTTTTGTCTCCTGCGTCTCGTTTACCTGTTGGTCTTCTCTGTGTCTGAACATCAGGCAGAAAACAGAATGTGTAGTTTGCTCTGGGAGCTAGCCTTCAGTTTCCCAGTGCAGCAGGCTCTTTTTGCCTTTATGTTTAAAAATGATGCCATTATTGAACTATCCTGTGTGTTCTAGTGTTAGTTTAAACCGTTGTTTTCCTGAGTGAGTCACTTTGACGCTTTTGTATTTGGTCCTCTGAGAGGTTCACCTCAGGAGGCGGATCTGTCTGAACAGTCATCTGTGGAGAGTCTGCAGGCTGCAGGGAGAGAGCTCATGCCCACAGTGTTGCCTTGCTGCTGGGATGCCATCATGATCCAAAGGGATGGCTGATTGGGAAAGCCCCCTCTAATTTATTGGGCTGCTTTGAGGTCACCTGACTTTTTTGGCCAATCATATCACGTGGTTAATGTGGTCATTGGCTTGACACAAAGCCTCATGTCTACACAACGTGTCAGGAGAGTTATTTTGAGAGAAAATGAGAGACTAGTGATTGTTGTGTCCTTGTGTTTTAGGTCTGAGGAATCCGAACACTGGTGTTTTCTCTGTTCACTTCAACATCCCTTTTCCTTTTTACTTGACAGGTACATATTTGCACAACTGGACTAATTGTGACTCCACCTCCCAGCAGTCCTGTTACTACAGCAACCGTCTTCACATTTCCCTCAGAGATGAGCTACACATCCATCGCTTTGGTAGGTTTCATGTATCTTACAAGGACATCACTCGTATTTAGCTTTTTTCTGTGCACCACAACAACAACGGGCTCAGTTTTATTCTGTTTTTATGGCCTTTCTAAATTCTAACAGTTACACAATAACACCATCTGTCCAGAAAGGACTGTGACTTTTGTCTAGTACTGCACATAATTTAGTGCATTTTAAGGGCTTCTAAGATTTTTTAATCATATAAACAACTATTCATGGCTTTACATTGTGAAACAAAGTAGATTTAGGGATTGGCAGAAAAACAAGGAGCTCAGGTTAGCTCAAGCTAGTATCAGCAGTAGCTCGGGCTAGCGTTGTTCTGTGGTTTGCATCATAGCCACCAACATATATCATTGATGCTGAAGCGTGTTGGAAAATGCAGATTTAGTGGGGTTTGTCTAAACTTATGATGTGTTAAATAATAATAATGCTTTTAAATTATAGGCGCCTTTCAAAACCCATGGTCACCTCACAAAAACATGATAAAACTTATAAGATCATTTAAACTAAAGGTGCAATATGTAAGAATAAAATAAGAATGACATCTTGTGGTCAAGTGTGGATACTGCAGCCCGTTTTCTAAACACAGGAGTGACAGTAAGTTTCATGGCTGTTGCCAGTTATGGATCGGAAGATTTTGGATGAGTCATAAACAGGAAGTCGATAAATACCTTTCACTGTGATAACGATTTGTTGTTTGAGTAGCTTGAGAACATTTTAGAGACGACTATTTTTTGTTTCTAATTCACCATTAGCATTGTTAGCTCAACGTTAGCCTCTAGCCTTCTTTACCTGCTAATGGAGTCAAACTAAAACATGCCGTGGCTTCTTTGGGGTACAAGAAATAACTTCTGGGTCACTCCTGTAACTGGCGCAGACTCAGCAACTCCGACTACGTCCTTCTTTAACCCTTTTGGCTAAGTATGGATTTAGGGGATGCTGGGAGAGAGCGAGTGTAGGGGGACCCTGGGCAGCTCCCTCTGGGGATTCCACGGTGTTTGCCGGCCTGAGAACACAACACCTTCCCCCAGCAAGTTCTGGTCCTGCTCTAGGGTCTCTTCAGTGGGATTTTCCCATAAACTCCAAAAGGAAGATGACCAGAAGTCATCAGCTAATGGGGATCTTAACAAACAAACAAACAAACCAGAAGTCAAATCACCCCAATTGACTCGTTTTGATGAGGAGGAACAGCAGTTCTACTCAACTCTTTGTGGATTTCTGAATGATCTCCAAGACTGAGCCTGGTGCTCGTTTCAGTCACAATCCAAAACTTAAATGTCTGTTCCTAATGCCGATGGTCCTTTAGCACTGCTGCTGACCTGATCTGCATCATATTACTGACGATGAAGCATCGATCCATCTCTCGGTCTGTTCTGCCATCCTACAAAATCAACATGTCTCTTCTAAAAATCATTCACACCAGCTTGTTAGCCTCCTTGGGTTTGTGCAAAGGGTGGCAAGCTGCAAAATTTCATTTGAAGCTCTGATCTGAAAATGTTTTTATAGCGCACACACGCACGCACACACACACACACGCACGCACGCACGCGCGCGCACGCACGCACGCACACACACACACACATTGAGAAGCAGGTGGTGGTCTAATTTCCCCACCGTTGTGGCCCAGTGAGAGCTCTCTACAGTGGTTCTGCTGTTTCCCCCTCAGCAGTGTTCAGGTTCCAACTTTGTTCTCCTCCTCAGCTTCTGATGGCTGCTGCTCTGTTGGTTATGAGGATAAAAGAAGCAGTAGCGGAGCATTCTGATTGGCCGGCCTAATATATGAGTTCTACAAATATAAAAATACAATTTATTCATTGCTAATGAGTGTAACAAGGCAGGCATATTAAACTGCATTATGCTTCCTGCGCTACTCGTTTTAAACGATGGGTCTCTACAGCAAAATGCTGCAGCTGCAGGACTGGTGGCTAAAGAGAGTCACACACAAATGTGACTAAAAAGTCCGGGGGGGGGGGGGGGGGGTGATTGGCAGCAGCAAAGTGAGTTGATGAAAACACGACATCAGAGCTGCCATGATGGCTTAGTGGTAGGGATGGGTACCGATTTCGGTACTTTTTAAGGTACCGACCGAATTCCATAGTACCGACCGAGCACCGATTCACGTCATTTCAAACGGTGCCTCGTTTCGGTACCCGTCCTTCATAACGAGAACTTGCCTAGACAGCTGCGCATGCGCAAGAGCGTTTTGTCGTCGCTCGCTGCGAGCCAGTTGTAAACAGAGCTAGCCTAGTGAACTAGACCAAATTCTTGCTATTTAGTCTGGCTTGCCAGGCTAAAACAGAGCAGCATGGTAGAAAGAACGCACGCTAAAGCTTGGGTCCACTTCACTAAATGTGATGGGTAACTGGGTGATGATGAAACCAGCGACAATGATCTAAATGAGACATCCTCATCTTAATCTGCTCCGGTAGGTAAATATAATTAGCTTGATTATGTTAGCTTCCGTTTCGCTAATGGTGCGTTCGCTTTCTCCTCGGAACTCCGAATTCCCGACTAGAAGAACATGAACGCGCTCTAAAGTTTGGCTTCACTTTACTAAATGTGACGGGTGATTGGGTGAAGATGAAACCAGCGACAACGATCTAAGTGTGAGGCATCATCGTTTTAATCTGCTCCAGCAGCTAAATAAACTCTTTAAGATAACGTTAGCTTGGTATGTTAGCTTCCATTGCCACCATTGTTATCAGCTAATGGTGCGTTCGCTTTCTCCTCGGAAATTCTAACTTCCCAGTAGGAAAAATCAAAAGAAAAAGGACGGCAAAAGGAATGAAGATACACAGTAAATTTAGTTCACACTAAAGATGTTCGCTTCAGTTTAATTATCAGCTTATAAAACTACAAGGACGATGTTAAAATACAAACAGTTGTATGTTATTTATCGTGATATTTATCAAATATTGTTATATATTGAGAAAAATATATATTTAATTATAAAAGAGAATTAAAATAATAAACACTCAAAAGTATCGAAAATTGGTACCGTTAAGTACCGGTATCGATTCGTAGGTACCGGGAATTAGTACCGGATCGATTCAAATGTCAAAGGTACCCATCCCTACTTAGTGGTACGCGAAGATCTCACCAGGAATGAGCGTGCACACTTTAGCTTCATGGCGGATCCAACAGAAATACCAACGTAACACGGCTGCGCAAAAGAGGCTGTGGACATGGTGCACACTCATCACTTTGGGTGTGCATGCGTACCTGTGCACACCAGGATATAACCTTACCACCAATCAGCCCCAACATAAACAACAAACATGTCTTCCCTCCCGCTGGCTCATGTAGTCCTTTAACCTTTTTAGGGTTTCTGTTGAGTGACTTCTCCCTTTTACAGTTGCACAACGCAGCTTAGATATGTGTTTGTGAAGATATTTGATACAGTTATTGTACATACTCTGTTAATATTTTATTAAGAGTCCATTAATCCCTGCAGCCCACTCAGAGTGGCGTGCACACTTCCTGTCTGCCTCTGCGTGTGTGCTTCGGTATGTGGAGTTGGTGAATGAGCAGGATTATGTACACAAAAGGTTGAGTTCTCCGCTTCACTTGGGAAACCTACATGATGTTTCTGTACACACCATTTCTCTAGCCTGCAGGCAACATAATTATCTCAGCTCAAGCGTTGGCAGTGAACCGAGACTTGCAACGACGCTCACGTATGCACACAGCGGTGCCACTCCTCCAGCGTGTCATGGAAGCCATTACTCTGTGGCTCACTGCTGCCGGCGTCGAGCACGGGCGGCTCCTGGGTAGTGGAGTTATCTGCAGCATCATCTGGCCCTGTTGGGTCTTTATTTATTTATTTAGGTTCACTTTGTGACGTAATATTCAAATTACTCAATACAATAAACATCTTAAAATGATTACATGTCGAAAGCTTTTAGTCACAGACGGTAAATAGAAGTGAGTGAAGTTTAGGTGGTTTGATGGTCGATCTTAGCGATGTTTTCATCTCCATGTGTTCTAACACACGTGGTTACCCGGCAACAAGCAGAAAGAGAGACGTTCTTCTTTCTGGGACAAGACTCTGTGTCTGAATAGCCTCAGTGATAGCTGATCTCTCCTCCTCTCGTCTTTGTCGCTCATAAACAAACTGGTTCCGTGCTCGCGTAACGCTGCTGTCGAGGCGAACGTTCCTTCTTGTTTGTGTTTTCTTTTGTGATTTATACCAAGAGGAGATAAGTGGTGAATTGTTGTGAGACTGTAATTGAATGCTGATCCTATCTGACCACTAATATGATTTTCTTTTCCTTTGCCACAGGATGCTCTCCCACCACCCCCTCCTCCTCCCCCGCAGGCCTCTGTCAGCGGAGCAGCGTACTCGGTGGCTGCTGGACAGAGACCCTCCCCCAGCGTCAGCGACCAAACTGGGAGACAAAGACCTACAGTGTGAGTTACACTAACAGTCCCATGCAGAATGTGCAGTCATTTTAAATGTCGCAGGCATCTGGTGGGGTGATGAGGAGAGACCACCCTTCTCTCAGCTGCCAGTGTGGGCCCGTGTGCAGGTGAAAGGGTCGGACTTAAAGGTGACACTCTCCAGGGTCTGTTTGGGGAGATCCTTTCTCTCAACCCTGTCCCCTTTACCCTCATTACTCCCCCGAGTCACCCACACACCTGATGAGTATTAGGTCGTCTCACGCCTGCTCTCCTGCCTTCGTCTGGTTCCACTGGTGAATACATGTCAGGTTTTATGTTCCCTCGCCTGAAAACACTGAAATCAGACAGAAAACATCCCAGCTGAGGCTCCTGCCCAGCTGCCAGTACAGGCCTGTTCTTGTGCTGCTGTGCAGAGATGACTCGCTGTACAGAACAGCGTGTGTAGTCCTACAAGAGGAGGAGATTATCCACGCTGATTGAAAACTATGCCGTCTCTGTTTGCTGTTGAATCTAGCTATGTGGCAATGTTCCCGTACACTCCCCGCAAGGAGGATGAGCTGGAGCTGCGAAAAGGAGAGATGTTCCTGGTGCTGGAGCGCTGTCAGGACGGCTGGTTCAAGGGCACCTCCATGCACACGGGCAAGATTGGAGTCTTCCCCGGGAACTACATGAGTCCGGTCAGCAGGTGGGGCTTTAGTTTAGCTGTTTACTTCTGGCTTCTTCGCTTTTAGTTGTGGAAATCGCTGGACTGGAGCCACATTCCTAAGAATTCCCATAAAGAACAGCATTTGATTACTTAGCAAATTCCTCTTCATAAATGTGTAACTACTTTATTTCTTTGAGGTCTGCTCCCAAAGCCGGTAAACAGTTGACTATAAATGTGGAAAAGTTGTTTAAAGTAACTCGTGTTCAGACGTGTTTTTGTCAGATATGTTAAAGACGCAGACGTGTTAAAGACGCAGGCGTGTTAAAGACGCAGACGTGTTAAAGACGCAGGCGTGTTAAAGACGCAGGCGTGTTAAAGACGCAGGCGTGTTAAAGACGCAGACTTGTTAAAGACGCAGACGTGTTAAAGACGCAGGCGTGTTAAAGACGCAGGCGTGTTAAAGACGCAGGCGTGTTAAAGACGCAGGCGTGTTAAAGACGCAGGCGTGTTAAAGACGCAGACGTGTTAAAGACGCAGACGTGTTAAAGACGCAGGCGTGTTAAAGACGCAGACGTGTTAAAGACGCAGGCGTGTTAAAGACGCAGGCGTGTTAAAGACGCAGACGTGTTAAAGACGCAGGCGTGTTAAAGACGCAGGCGTGTTAAAGACGCAGGCGTGTTAAAGACGCAGACGTGTTAAAGACGCAGACGTGTTAAAGACGCAGGCGTGTTAAAGACGCAGGCGTGTTAAAGACGCAGACGTGTTAAAGACGCAGACGTGTTTTTGTCAGACGTGTTAAAGACGCAGACGTGTTAAAGACGCAGACGTGTTAAAGACGCAGACGTGTTAAAGACGCAGACGTGTTAAAGACGCAGGCGTGTTAAAGACGCAGGCGTGTTAAAGACGCAGGCGTGTTAAAGACGCAGACGTGTTAAAGACGCAGGCGTGTTAAAGACGCAGACGTGTTAAAGACGCAGGCGTGTTAAAGACGCAGACGTGTTAAAGACGCAGACGTGTTAAAGACGCAGGCGTGTTAAAGACGCAGGCGTGTTAAAGACGCAGACGTGTTAAAGACGCAGACGTGTTAAAGACGCAGACGTGTTAAAGACGCAGGCGTGTTAAAGACGCAGACGTGTTAAAGACGCAGGCGTGTTAAAGACGCAGGCGTGTTAAAGACGCAGGCGTGTTAAAGACGCAGGCGTGTTAAAGACGCAGGCGTGTTAAAGACGCAGGCGTGTTAAAGACGCAGACGTGTTAAAGACGCAGGCGTGTTAAAGACGCAGGCGTGTTAAAGACGCAGGCGTGTTAAAGACGCAGGCGTGTTAAAGACGCAGACGTGTTAAAGACGCAGACGTGTTTTTGTCAGACGTGTTAAAGACGCAGACGTGTTAAAGACGCAGACGTGTTAAAGACGCAGACGTGTTAAAGACGCAGGCGTGTTAAAGACGCAGGCGTGTTAAAGACGCAGGCGTGTTAAAGACGCAGGCGTGTTAAAGACGCAGACGTGTTAAAGACGCAGACGTGTTTTTGTCAGACGTGTTAAAGACGCAGACGTGTTAAAGACGCAGACGTGTTAAAGACGCAGACATGTTAAAGACGCAGACATGTTAAAGACGCAGACGTGTTAAAGACGCAGACGTGTTAAAGACGCAGACGTGTTAAAGACGCAGACGTGTTTTTGTCAGACGTGTTAAAGACGCAGACGTGTTAAAGACGCAGACGTGTTAAAGACGCAGACGTGTTAAAGACGCAGACGTGTTAAAGACGCAGACGTGTTTTTGTCAGACGTGTTAAAGACGCAGACGTGTTAAAGACGCAGACGTGTTAAAGACGCAGACGTGTTAAAGACGCAGACGTGTTAAAGACGCAGGCGTGTTAAAGACGCAGGCGTGTTAAAGACGCAGGCGTGTTAAAGACGCAGACGTGTTAAAGACGCAGACGTGTTAAAGACGCAGGCGTGTTTTTGTCAGACGTGTTAAAGACGCAGACGTGTTAAAGACGCAGACGTGTTAAAGACGCAGACGTGTTTTTGTCAGACGTGTTAAAGACGCAGACGTGTTAAAGACGCAGACGTGTTAAAGACGCAGACGTGTTAAAGACGCAGGCGTGTTAAAGACGCAGGCGTGTTAAAGACGCAGGCGTGTTAAAGACGCAGACGTGTTAAAGACGCAGACGTGTTAAAGACGCAGGCGTGTTAAAGACGCAGGCGTGTTAAAGACGCAGACGTGTTAAAGACGCAGACGTGTTAAAGACGCAGACGTGTTAAAGACGCAGACGTGTTAAAGACGCAGACGTGTTAAAGACGCAGACGTGTTAAAGACGCAGACGTGTTAAAGACGCAGACGTGTTTTTGTCAGACGTGTTAAAGACGCAGACGTGTTAAAGACGCAGACGTGTTAAAGACGCAGGCGTGTTAAAGACGCAGGCGTGTTAAAGACGCAGGCGTGTTAAAGACGCAGACGTGTTAAAGACGCAGACGTGTTAAAGACGCAGGCGTGTTAAAGACGCAGACGTGTTAAAGACGCAGGCGTGTTAAAGACGCAGGCGTGTTAAAGACGCAGGCGTGTTAAAGACGCAGGCGTGTTAAAGACGCAGGCGTGTTAAAGACGCAGACGTGTTAAAGACGCAGACGTGTTAAAGACGCAGACGTGTTAAAGACGCAGGCGTGTTAAAGACGCAGACGTGTTAAAGACGCAGGCGTGTTAAAGACGCAGACGTGTTAAAGACGCAGGCGTGTTAAAGACGCAGGCGTGTTAAAGACGCAGGCGTGTTAAAGACGCAGGCGTGTTAAAGACGCAGACGTGTTAAAGACGCAGACGTGTTAAAGACGCAGGCGTGTTAAAGACGCAGGCGTGTTAAAGACGCAGGCGTGTTAAAGACGCAGACGTGTTAAAGACGCAGACGTGTTTTTGTCAGACGTGTTAAAGACGCAGACGTGTTAAAGACGCAGACGTGTTAAAGACGCAGACGTGTTAAAGACGCAGACGTGTTAAAGACGCAGGCGTGTTAAAGACGCAGGCGTGTTAAAGACGCAGGCGTGTTAAAGACGCAGGCGTGTTAAAGACGCAGACGTGTTCAAGACGCAGACGTGTTAAAGACGCAGGCGTGTTAAAGACGCAGACGTGTTAAAGACGCAGGCGTGTTAAAGACGCAGACGTGTTAAAGACGCAGACGTGTTAAAGACGCAGGCGTGTTAAAGACGCAGGCGTGTTAAAGACGCAGACGTGTTAAAGACGCAGACGTGTTAAAGACGCAGGCGTGTTAAAGACGCAGACGTGTTAAAGACGCAGGCGTGTTAAAGACGCAGGCGTGTTAAAGACGCAGGCGTGTTAAAGACGCAGGCGTGTTAAAGACGCAGGCGTGTTAAAGACGCAGGCGTGTTAAAGACGCAGACGTGTTAAAGACGCAGGCGTGTTAAAGACGCAGGCGTGTTAAAGACGCAGGCGTGTTAAAGACGCAGGCGTGTTAAAGACGCAGACGTGTTAAAGACGCAGACGTGTTTTTGTCAGACGTGTTAAAGACGCAGACGTGTTAAAGACGCAGACGTGTTAAAGACGCAGACGTGTTAAAGACGCAGGCGTGTTAAAGACGCAGGCGTGTTAAAGACGCAGGCGTGTTAAAGACGCAGGCGTGTTAAAGACGCAGACGTGTTAAAGACGCAGACGTGTTTTTGTCAGACGTGTTAAAGACGCAGACGTGTTAAAGACGCAGACGTGTTAAAGACGCAGACATGTTAAAGACGCAGACATGTTAAAGACGCAGACGTGTTAAAGACGCAGACGTGTTAAAGACGCAGACGTGTTAAAGACGCAGACGTGTTTTTGTCAGACGTGTTAAAGACGCAGACGTGTTAAAGACGCAGACGTGTTAAAGACGCAGACGTGTTAAAGACGCAGACGTGTTAAAGACGCAGACGTGTTTTTGTCAGACGTGTTAAAGACGCAGACGTGTTAAAGACGCAGACGTGTTAAAGACGCAGACGTGTTAAAGACGCAGGCGTGTTAAAGACGCAGGCGTGTTAAAGACGCAGGCGTGTTAAAGACGCAGACGTGTTAAAGACGCAGACGTGTTAAAGACGCAGGCGTGTTTTTGTCAGACGTGTTAAAGACGCAGACGTGTTAAAGACGCAGACGTGTTAAAGACGCAGACGTGTTTTTGTCAGACGTGTTAAAGACGCAGACGTGTTAAAGACGCAGACGTGTTAAAGACGCAGACGTGTTAAAGACGCAGGCGTGTTAAAGACGCAGGCGTGTTAAAGACGCAGGCGTGTTAAAGACGCAGACGTGTTAAAGACGCAGACGTGTTAAAGACGCAGGCGTGTTAAAGACGCAGGCGTGTTAAAGACGCAGACGTGTTAAAGACGCAGACGTGTTAAAGACGCAGACGTGTTAAAGACGCAGACGTGTTAAAGACGCAGACGTGTTAAAGACGCAGACGTGTTAAAGACGCAGACGTGTTAAAGACGCAGACGTGTTTTTGTCAGACGTGTTAAAGACGCAGACGTGTTAAAGACGCAGACGTGTTAAAGACGCAGACGTGTTTTTGTCAGACGTGTTAAAGACGCAGACGTGTTAAAGACGCAGACGTGTTAAAGACGCAGACGTGTTAAAGACGCAGACGTGTTAAAGACGCAGGCGTGTTAAAGACGCAGGCGTGTTAAAGACGCAGACGTGTTAAAGACGCAGACGTGTTAAAGACGCAGACGTGTTTTTGTCAGACGTGTTAAAGACGCAGACGTGTTAAAGACGCAGACGTGTTAAAGACGCAGACGTGTTTTTGTCAGACGTGTTAAAGACGCAGACGTGTTAAAGACGCAGGCGTGTTAAAGACGCAGGCGTGTTAAAGACGCAGGCGTGTTAAAGACGCAGGCGTGTTAAAGACGCAGACGTGTTAAAGACGCAGACGTGTTAAAGACGCAGGCGTGTTAAAGACGCAGACGTGTTAAAGACGCAGGCGTGTTAAAGACGCAGGCGTGTTAAAGACGCAGACGTGTTAAAGACGCAGACGTGTTAAAGACGCAGGCGTGTTAAAGACGCAGGCGTGTTAAAGACGCAGACGTGTTAAAGACGCAGACGTGTTAAAGACGCAGACGTGTTAAAGACGCAGACGTGTTAAAGACGCAGACGTGTTAAAGACGCAGGCGTGTTAAAGACGCAGGCGTGTTAAAGACGCAGGCGTGTTAAAGACGCAGACGTGTTAAAGACGCAGACGTGTTAAAGACGCAGACGTGTTAAAGACGCAGGCGTGTTAAAGACGCAGACGTGTTAAAGACGCAGGCGTGTTAAAGACGCAGGCGTGTTAAAGACGCAGGCGTGTTAAAGACGCAGACGTGTTAAAGACGCAGACGTGTTAAAGACGCAGGCGTGTTAAAGACGCAGACGTGTTAAAGACGCAGGCGTGTTAAAGACGCAGGCGTGTTAAAGACGCAGACATGTTTTTTTGCAGTGAGTAGATTTCTGAACCGTAGACTATGATGAGGTAACATTCACCTCTTCCAATAATAACGTTGATAGCTCCTGGTTCCTCATCCTCTCCACAGGACAGCGTCTGGGAACACCCAGCCCAAAGTCCCCATGAGTCTGTGCACTCAGGCTGGCAGAGGAGTGACCATCGTCAGCCCTTCCTCTGCTCCCCTGGGAGTCATTGTTCCTGGTCCTGATTCCAACAAACCCCTCACCGTGTGCTCCGCCGCTGTACCTGCGTGCTCCCAACCTGCAGCTGTGGTAGCAACAGCTCAGACCGCTACGGGCCAACAGCCTAAAGTCTCTCTCCATGTCAACTCACAGATGACAGTAAACCAGGCCCGCAGCGCCGTCCGGACTGGTACGTTAGACAGATGTTGCATAAGCGGAGTGATTTATAGTTTAAATGTGTCATTTTATTTTATTTCATCTTTGCAGCCGCTTGCCACAGTCAGGACAGACCCACAGCAGCAGTGACACCCATCCAGTCTGCTACACCCGTGACTTTCGTCCCACAGCTCTCCGTTTGTCCGCAGCCCTCCTCTAACTCGGCTCAAGGCTGCTCCCGGGCCGGAGCGGCTCTGGGCTGCGCTGCTGCCTCCCTGACTCCTCCTAATGTGAATGCTGCTTCTCTAGAGGTCGACGCCTTGAGACCTGTTCCTGTGGGCTCTGGGAGCAGTGCTGCCATCAGTCACTCATCCAGCAGTGCAGCTTTTGTCTGCAGAATGGACAAGGATGGAAAGGTGGGATGGTTGTAGAAACTCTACAAACTACTGTTGATCATTTTTACAATAATACAGATTTTCTTATATTCTGCAGTCTCACTGGGCTGCAACTGACGTTCACAAGAGTTTCCAAAATATCTCTACGTCACAGTCCTGCTGCTTTAATTTGTAGATTAAAACAGTCTGCAGACATCACACATCTGGAACACACGTGTGTGTGTGTCTCCTGCAGACACACACCGCTGAGATTCTGGCTTAAATGGTTCCCAGTACAGAGTTCATAATTGTTGGAACAGAGAGACTCAGAATCATGTTGGTAGAACAGCAATCTGTGTGTTTTATTCCCAAGTCAAACGAGCCAGCACAAACCTGTTTTTGACTTTAAGGAAGCCGTTCTAGGCAGCGAGCCGTCCTTCGTGTTTTAGGAAAATGTGCTTTAATCCATAACTGTTTGGAATTTTCAACATGAAATCGATGTTGTTGCAGAGAGAAAAGAAGAGTCTTCTGAAGCTGTTGTCCTCCAATAAGAAGAAGTCTCGACCTTCACCTCCCTCCTCTCCCACCCTTGAAGGAGAACAGGCTGGAGCTGGAGAGGTGCTGCATGGAGCGGTGTGTCCTGACACCTCCCCTCCCTCCAGCTCCGTCAGCTGCCTGGAGCTGGAATCTGCTGCTGTTGCTTCTGCCTTGCCATCCGCCTCCCCCTCAGTCCCCGAGTCTACCCATCGGAAGAGCGGCCCGCTTGATGGATGCGCTCCCATCGCTCCTCCTCCTCGACAGCCCTGCTCCTCTCTTTTACCGCAGCAGTATGATGCACGTCCCATCATATGTGAGAGGTAGGCTGATGTGAGGCTGCCTTCCCTCTAATGCAACATTATACCAGTCGCTCAGTGTGCCTCTGGCTGTTCTCCCCAGGTACAGGGTGGTGGTGTCGTATCCTCCGCAGAGCGAGGCCGAGCTGGAACTCAAGGAGGGGGACATCGTGTTTGTTCACAGGAAGCGGGAGGACGGCTGGTTCAAAGGCACGCTGCAGAGGAACGGCAGGACTGGCCTGTTCCCTGGCAGCTTCGTAGACAGCATCTAACCCACCAAACTTCCCCACGGTGAGCCCAGCTATGTGGGCGCCATCATACCGACACCTGAAGTCCTGAAAGAAACCGCTAGAAGCACACAAGAGAAGCTGAAGGGGCTCTGAAGGCACAGTGGGCGGAGCTAGAGCACACTACACGTGAACTCTTCTCTTATTCTTGGTTATTTATATATTTGTAACAACTCAGCTGTTAAATGTGTGCCTTGTACTGTTCTCCACTTTATTGTACGTAAGGACACAAATATGAGTCCTAAATCAACCAGTATGACCTGTTATCAGCACGTTACACATTTAACTTATTTTATATTCTCCCTAGGCAGCAGGGGGTTACGGACAACACACTTTAGTTCATTTTCTCCTTTAGGCCGCTGATAGGGTTTTCATTATTTTGAACCTTCAGCAGGTAGGAGACCGAACATGAAACCAAACAACCAAAACGAGTCATCTGTGCTGCACCGTGAGAAGAGAAGATGCTTCCCCCGCTCCAAACGAGACGACCAGAAGAATCTGCTGTATTGCACATCTGAATCCTTAAAGCTCCTCCTTAAGCTGCACGGGACTAAGTATTTGCGTGCCGTTCATTGTTAGGTGGCCTTGTTTCGTAGAAAAATGAGAAACTAGCTCGTCATCAACGCAGCCACCCCCCAGGAGGTCATTGATGGCTCTGCCGCAGCTTATTATCCTTAAAACACTCCAGACTCTGCAGTCGAACGTTGCTGGATTTGTACCTTTTGTTTTAATTCTCTGTTTCCTGACCAGAGTAGCTGCTCTCCTAACTCTTTAGTAATATCTGAACCCAGACAGAGCTCTGCCCCTCTAGAGCGACACGTGTCATTAAAACAAAGCAGAATCTTTTATATTTATGTTAACGTTCCACCGAGGCCCAGGCCTGCTGCTTGTGACTGACCGACGCGGTTTCCCTCCCGTGGGAGCTGTTTTTTGGACGCTAGAGTTCATTCCTGATGTGACTTGAGACACTAAAACTCACCGCTGACCGTTTGCCTAAAGCAGCGTCGCTCCACAGACGTCGGTGTCTTCTCACGAATCTCATTTTTTATGAAAACAATCATTTTGAGCCCTTTAATTTGTTTTCTGGTTAAATGTACTGACTTGATTTGCTGTAAGGTTTTTGTTTTTATGTTTTTGATTACATTTGGATTTTGTAAAACATGAAATAGCTTTATTTATTTTTTTAGAATGACTACTCTGTTGTTTTGAAACAAACAACCACAGAAATCCCTGTCTCCTTTATCCCATCAAAACTGATTCAGTCCTGTATGAAAACGCATCAGAAGTAAGTACTGACCAACCCGCCCATGTTCGTACCAGGTGACCCATTCGGACGGCACGGGATGTTCGTTTCGGTTCAATCACGCGAGCCGGTCCTGGATCCTGTTGTTTTGGGTTGTTGACGGGGACCACTGTGTGCCTGACTGCTGGAATATTTAGAGTTTTAAAGAGCGTGTGGAGAGGAATGGTACACATCACTGTTGAGCCTTTTTGTTTGACTTTGTCTTTCTGAGCAGATTTAATCCGATGTTACGACGTTATCTTGGCAAGCACCAACCTCACAACTCCTCTTTGCTTTCCTTGCAAAGCCTTTAAGATTACTGACGTGTTTCAACCCAAATGCACAAGTTTATACCGACATTTGCACTGTCTCAGCATCGCTAATCTTACTGATCTTCGTCATGCCTAGGCTGCACAGTTTGGAAACACGAGGCATTTTTGGATATATTTACAAGTCTGTTTTGTCATCTGTTGAGTATTCAGTAACTTAAAGGGATTTCTTTTTGCAATTTGAAGTGTTTGTGTAAAAGTTGTAAATAATTACAACTTTCCCCTCGTAGCTGGCGTCCTGGAGGGCCCTGTTTGGAGAAGTTTGAGTTTTCATCCTACAGCATTGATGTGCTAACAGCTAGTCTGAGTGCTGCCAAGACCAAAGCTGAGTAAAACTACCAAATGTCACAGCGGTAATGCAGTATTTTTAAACCCTTCCATCGGGGCTGATTACACATGACAGCGTTGGTGACATTCTAGGACCAACGGTGTCATGTCTTCATGTTATTGCTGAAATAATCGTTATTAATAAAATGTCACATTAACCGCTGTCTATGTTTAGAAGAATGGAATCGTTTTAACACATCTCGGTTGCACTCGGCTAACTAGCCGTTAGCTCAGCAGTCCTGAAGGACATAAAGGCTATTTCTCTAAACAAAGTAAGATCTAAACACAAATAAAACAAAATTCCTTTAAGTTGGGTTGCTGAAGCTTAACTTTTCTATGCCAAGGTGGATGACTTGATTTTTTTTTTCCTTGTCAAAGTTAGTGTGTTTATGTCTAAAACTAGTGAAACTGAAATCCAACTATTTGGCACATTATGTCAAAAATATTGTGAAGAATTAGAGGGAATGACATTTTGTAAAAAAAAAAAAAAAAAAAGCTATCCCAAAAGTAAAATGTTTTCCATGTTTTCTTGAAGATTGTGTTGTTTTTTCCTAAGTGACATCATGTCACGCAGGCCTCCTCCTACCAGGGTAGAACTATCCAGCTGGGGTTTCAAGCTGCTGACAGGACTAGGCATCTCAAAGTTTGCATGACATGAGTAAACTTGTGTGTGTGTGTGTGTGTGCGCGTGTGCGTGTGTGTACGTTCAGCAGTGATTTCAGCAGCAGCCATGGTGCATGTGGTCATTATCGTCCCCAGGAAGAGGTGAGCCTCCCCAGCGTGCTCAGCTGGGAAACGCTGACTGGACCTGACAAGCACCCAGAGGTCATTGTGCTGCACACAGCTCCCTGCAGAGGACGGCTCTCCGTGGAAATTACTCCTCCCCACACAAGAATAGGACAAATAAGAATCATTGTGCATGGCCAACACAGGATGCATATATGTTGGAATTGTGTTGAATTTTCATGCTTTAAGGACGTGTGCTAAATTTGCAGCAAGGCTGTTGCTGTCTGACAGCTAAAGCTTACCGGGCTGGTGTGTATTTAAAAATAGGAGAAGCTAGTTTACAGAATGTAGCTGCCAGGGCTATTTGGGCTTCAGCTGAGCCTTGGGGTTAAATGTTTCTTCAATAGATCTTTTGTTTACAGGACATTTGCACAAACATTTGTCTTGGACACTCAGAAGTCTAAGGACATTAGATTCAGCAAATTATACTGAGTTTGATTGTTTGTGCTGTGCAGGTACAAGGGCTGTTAGGTGTAAAAGAGCTAAGTAACATGTTCAGGAAGCGGTCTGAATCACCTTGTTTTCTCCAGAACAAACAGGTATGAATGAGCTGGGGGTTTATGAGTTGCTCCTGCAGCACCATGGACATGATTCCTAGCGCTCTGGGCCAGAGGTCTGCTCTGGCAAAGGTTGTGAATGTTATTTAACCTCAGTAAATCAACCTGGCAGGGTGTCTCAGTCTGATGAAGTGCCCAAGTGTAAATGGAGCTCTCCTATTTTTACTATTGCTCTATTTGTATGCACTGGTGGACACGATGCTATTCCTGTGGAAATACATATTTGAGGAGGGGAACAAAAAACATGGCTGAAGGAAAAGGAGAAACTGTGACACCAGCAGGATGTGTGTAGGGGGAGGGGTCAGGTGAAGAGACGAAAAGCTTTGATATCTACTCGTTTGTGTTCAGCCTTTTGTCAACAAACTTTAAAATAAGAGCTGAAATGTGCTGATATCAGTGATTCCCTAACTTCCTGCCAGTGATGTTTTTCATTGCCAACATACGACAGCTGATTGATAAAGCACCTGGGGGAGGGAAAGCTGAGGTGACTCCGAACGGCTGATTAGTTCTGACACTTCTGGCTGTCTTCAACCTGAGTGGCAACCCGTCATCAGTGAAGTATCAGCGCCTTGATTCACCATGGCAACCACTGAAAGAAGTGCATCAAACACACGAGGAAACTGCAGTTTTATTGAGCAGATTACATTTTATACAAACTGGAGTCACTGATTTGTTAAAAACACTCCTATTCAGTTGCACTCACCCAACAGAAAGAGGCAGAGTTTGCTTTAGTTAGTTGATGAGGTTTAACTCCCAGAGTCTGTTGCCATGGAGATAACTCTGAGATTCACTTAACCTCTGAAATAGCTTTCTGGATTACCATGACGTGTGTGGATCCCTGTGAAATCCATTTTAAACATTGTTTCAACTTCTTAAATGAAGTTATGTTTATTATTATAGTATTTCTGTTGATGTGACATTCTAAAACAAATAAACACCCCAAAAGTTGGTGTTAGCTCTTTGGGGCCACCTATTGGAACCCTGTTTAAAACTTTCTGGAGGCACCCCTGCCCTCAGATGACGCAGCTTGCATCTTACAATATATTCTATTTCTGTTTATTAGTCCTGTTATTATTAGTATTCAGGGAAACTTGGTTTTAATAACAACTTATTTTATTTCTACTTATTTAATTTAGAAACACTAACAGTAAAAAAAATTTGATTATTTGCTCAAAAATCTTTTTTGTTGTTGAGGTCCTAATAATCCAAAATAGCTAAGCAAAGTCAAAATCACACCAAACTAAAGGTCTCTGGAGGATCCGTCCAAATAAAAACAAACATGGGTCCTCAGCCTCTGCTAGAGTCGTGTTCAGCCAGCCCTGTGTAGACAGGCACGGTCACAGCTACAGCTGAGAGGCTACCGTGGCGACTCTACTTAGGAACATTGTAAAATTTTTATTCCCCAGCTGCACAAACGTTACTTCCGCTAGAAACTGGTGCGTTTTGTTGCGTTTCACACGTTAAACCATGTGTTCACAGCGCCATCTGCCGGATAAACGCAAACAATACAACAACACAGAAAACAAACATGGCGGCGTCCATAACTTTCCTTGGAAATTCGCAATTTTTAAATTAGACTCATTTAAAAACATTCGAAGCGTGACTACTTAAAACAAGGTAAGCAGCCGCTTGACATAAAAGTGTGAGATTTTGGGGGGATCAAGGAAATATAAATGTTTTTTAATCGTCATAAGGTAAAGTTGCAAGCCGGACCGGACTCGATTCGGAGCTGCTGGGTCCTCCGTGAGGATCATGTCCCGGCTGGCGGTGGTGTGTGGGGGCTCCAGGGGCATCGGGAGGGCCGTGTCCTGCCTGCTGGCGGAGAGGGGCTGCAGGCTGGTCGTAGTCTCCAGGAGGGAGGATGCTGCCCGCGCTGCTGTGGCGGCCCTACCTGGAGGTAAATACTGCAAACGTTAGGAAATAGTTTGTAGATGCATGGGAAAGCTACCTTCTGTAAGTCTAAACGTGTAAAGAATTGTTTTGGCCAGTTTTATGAAAAATGACTTACCCACTTGTGAATAGAGTAAAACCTTTGGTTTGCGTAAACAATCCAAGCTTCATCGTCTTTCTAAAGACGGTACGTTAACAAAATGACAATTCAGAATGTATGCTCGAGTTTCTGTTTCTCTTGGACAAACGTGTCCTCCAACCTTCATCTCTCAACTTCAGCATATGGACTCATGCCAGTAATGGTGGTTTCAGGGTTATGGATATAGTTAACAGATATCGATTAAAGCGGTGATCCACTTTACCGGCTCAGATATGAACTGGTCATTAACCATCTCCACCTGTTGACTTAATCTGCACATAAACGCTCTTTTAAACAAACCTGATTTATTCAACCAAAAGGACCATAGAGGATGTTTCTGAGCCTCTAACAGCTTGTCTTTTGCTAATCAGGGGACAGCAGTAGCTCAGGAGGTAGACCAGTAACTGGAAGGTTGCAGGTTTGAGCCCGGCTCTGACCAGAGAATGCTGCCGTTGTGTCCTTGGGCAAGACACTTAACCCACCTTGCCTGCTGGCGGTGGTCGGAGGGACCGGTGGTGCCAGTCTTCCGCAGCCTCGTCTCTGTCAGTGCCCCCCCCAGGGCAGCTGTGGCTACATCGTAGCTCATCCCCACCAGTGTGTGATGACTGATTGTGTTGTGAAGCGCCGGGGGGGGGGGTGGGGGGGTGGGGGAGGTTGTAGAACCCTAAGAAGGCGCTATACAAATACAGGCCATCTACTATTTTTTAAATGTCAACTATTTTAAAGTTGGACAAAGAAAATTCACATTTTAGAGGTGATCTGATGACATTTTACGTTCATGCTTGCTGAAACATTTCCAGAGAGTGTGCAGCCTGAATTCTGGCTGACTGGTTAAGTTTTACGTATTGGAGACACATGTTGGAGATGTGTTTTGGTTCATTATCCTATGAAACTGGCCTCGATCAGGTGCTGTCTACTGGGCCTGGCGTTGCTAAGTCTGGATGAAGACTTCCTGTTTTACTGCAAGGTAATTTCAGAAGCTTTTCCCAATCTTCAGTTGTCACAAACAGATTTACTTGGATGAGCAGCCACACCAGATCACGCAGGGACCTGGTAAGGAAGGCCTCTATGCAAAAATGTAGATCTTTCTTTAAAAAATCTATTTTATATGTTTTGTTTTGGAAATTTAAAAGCAAATCTGGGCACTTCACTGTTTTACACACACTCTTATAGGGAAGGGAGATAAACTCGTGTTTTAGATGCATCGAGATGCGAACATGAACATTTATCAATCGATTTTGAAAAAGTAAAAAATCGATTTTATCAACGGCGAGGCACTAAAAGCGGAACTTAGCTAAAGGAAGTCTGGTGCTTGGACGGAAAGGTTACAGTATGCACAGGACAACACGGCTGACTGAGGAATACGGCCGGCACCGCCAACATTAAAAGCAAACATACGGAATTACTTTGGTTTTCATGAGTTTGAGGGGAAAAGGGACCTGGACAAAAGCCGTACGGTGTTCAAGCTAAACTCAAATATAACACGATAAACATGAGAAGCCATGTTAATCGTTTTCACCCGGAGGAGGAGCAAAAGACCACTGGTGTCAAGCCAGCCTCCAGTTTGTTTTCTGTTCCCCGTCTATTCAAGTTATTACGGGAAGGGATGTGGGAAACCGGATTTCAAAATAAAATTCATCTTTGAATGAATTATCAGATATTTTAAGAACATAATAACAAATAATTTAGGCTTGTTCACTATTAGCGCCCTGTCAATATCAAGGCAATCTTATTTTGGATTTCAAAGTAAAAGCCTTGTGAATTTTCATTTTTGAACTACTCTTTCAATGACTTCAGAATGCTCTTAAAAGCAAAAGTCACATTTCCAAAGAGCAGTTGCATTTTGTATCAACACTATCAAACCACAGCAATTTGAAATTGCCCATATTTGACCGACTCTTTAACGATTTCAAAAAGCTCTAAAATGGAAAATTGCTGTTTCTACAGGTAATTCCACTTTAGATCAACAGTACACAACCCCACAGTGATACCATATCAATATCATGTCAGTCTGATTTAATTTATTAAACTTTACTGAAGTGGATTTCTTGTATTTACATATTAATGACACAGTCTTTTCTTTGGTTCCATTTCATAACATTACAAATACATTTTCGTAATAGAGTATGATAGTAACATAGGTAAATCTGTTTATCTTTGAAAACAAATCCCAGAAAAAGGTAACAGCTCAATACAAGGAGAGTAAATTGTTAAGTCCAGAACGTGCAGTCATAACATAAAAGGTGCTTTAAAGGTAAATGACAACATCATGGAAATGTGCATGAGATATGTATGAAAACGTTTCGCCGTATTATGTTGCTCAAATGATCACTTTGGTGGAGACCACAGAGTACGTCTTCAAATGTTTTGACACAAGCGTCCAAGAAGTCTGGTTTAACAGCACAGGAGACAATCCCACGCTTCTTCCTTTGCTTTTTAAAGTCGTTGTTGGTCATGGCAAGGCACTGCTCATGGTACCATCTTTCACAGGTGTCACATTATATCTATTTAAAATCAAACAGACAAAGCAAAAAAAAAAACATTTATGCTCAAAGACTTTTACACATTTTTGAGAAATTCTAATACCCTCCAACTCACCCAGTTCATCACTGAAGGTCCTGATCCAGGAGGCTTGGTCAGTGAACACATGGCACAGTTGCTGTTGGTGTCAAAAACTAAAATACAGAATCAAAACACATTAGATAGACATTCGTCTGAAGGCCAATGTGTGTATATGTTAAACTGTGTACTTACAACTTTCTATCGATTACACCATAAAGTGCCATTGTGCACTATAGTAATACTACTAACAGAATAACACATTTCAATCTACACACACGCACACATATACATTCAAATACACACACACACACACACACACGTTCTCTATTATTCACCCCCAAACCGACCTGATGCTTGTAGTATCTCCACAGCCATCAACTTTCTTTCCTCTGTTTTGAAACGCAACATCAGACTGACATGATATTGATATGGTATCACTGTGGGGTTGTGTACTGTTGATCTAAAGTGGAATTACCTGTGGAAACAGCAATTTTCCATTTTAGAGCTTTTTGAAATCGTTAAAGAGTCGGTCAAATATGGGCAATTTCAAATTGCTGTGGTTTGATAGTGTTGATACAAAATGCAACTGCTCTTTGGAAATATGACTTTTGCTTTTAAGAGCATTCTGAAGTCATTGAAAGAGTAGTTCAAAAATGAAAATTCACAAGGCTTTTACTTTGAAATCCAAAATAAGATTGCCTTGATATTGACAGGGCGCTAATAGTGAACAAGCCTAAATTATTTGTTATTATGTTCTTAAAATATCTGATAATTCATTCAAAGTTGAATTTTATTTTGAAATCCGGTTTCCACATCCCTTCCCGTAATAACTTGAATAGACGGGGAAGCGACAATAAACTGGAGGCTGGCTTGACACCAGTAAAAGACGCCGGTAGCTGCGTCTGTCGCCACCAACCAGAAAACAGGCGTTGTTAAAATTTCCACCAAACTCGGAAAAGGTGAACAGAACTACAAAGCCAATAGCGAGTTTTATCCCGAAAGATTTGCGTCTGTTTTATGTATTTATTTATACATTTAATTGAAGTTCTTGTCAAAAGTATTTATACTCATACTGTTGTTGTCTAATCGCATTTACTTTTAGAAAAAGAACAGTTATTCCTGTTCTAACTTGTTGGACATCAGCATTATTTAGTTTGGAAGCTGTTAATGACAGCACCTCTTTTCTTTAAAACGTTGCACTGATACTTATGTTAATAAAAGAAACTGGAAGTAAATGAATCATTACAGATGTTTTTCTGAAGGACCACCTAATCACTTAGCAGCCAGGTGAGGGAGGAGAAAGATGCATCAATGGTGACGTTCCTGAAGATTCCCACCCCTACTCTCTCACTAGGTGTTCTGTTTCGGAGCCTTTTAAACAAAATTATCTCCACACACGTGTTTTAAATCAGTCTGTATGAAGTATTTTCATTGGGTCAAACACTGAACTAGAGACGGGTTTGTTCAGTCCTGTTTGAGGCTGTCTTGATGCTTCAAAGCCTTCACGTATTGTTCAGCATCAACAGAGCCCTCTTTGATGCTCGGGTTGCTCCACGTACCCTCATACCAGCGCAGATGTTGGCTTCTCAGAGCTGATAGAAGAGCCCCTCCATCTCCTCTGGTTTGGATTCACCAGACCACAGTCCACTACTTTTCACTTCAGTTGAGTCCATCTTAAATTACCGAGAGCGGCGGCGTCCCGGGACCAGTCTACACTCCGTCACGTTACATTTCAGGGTTACCTTTGAAATCAAGCTGGGTCTGGGAGTGATTTGCCTCCCGGGACCTGCAGTTTCTAGGAACAGCCTGCAGAGGCGTAACTGCTGGTGTACTTACAGACCTGCTGTGTGTTGCTCCACAGCCCACCACCAGGCTCTGAGCTGTGACGTCTCCAAAGAGGAGGAGGTGCAGAGAACCTTTGAAACGATCCAGAAGATGTGCGGAAACATCACTTACCTTGTGAATGCAGCCGGCGTCAACAGGTGAGCAGAGTGATGTCTCTTGTTTCTCTGTTGCCGTAGTAACAGTAGGGAAGTGAGCTGAGCTGTGTGTGAGTCTGTCTCCAGAGATGCTCTGCTGCTGAGGACCAAACCAGCAGAAATGGTGGCTCTGCTTCACACCAACCTTCTGGGCTCCATGCTGACCTGCAGGGCAGCTCTTCGCAGCATGCTGCACACAAGAGGAGCTTCTATAGTTAACATAGGTAACTATCATAGGCGCATGATGAGTGCTACGGTAGCATTTAGCCACTAGATGGTAGGAGTTTTATTTGGTTCGGACGGTTTCAGATGTGTTACATTCATCCTGAAGGATGAAGGATCCATTTGGATGTGTTTGCAGTCTCTGGCTGCAGGTTCTCCACCTTCATTCAGCAAGCTTCCTGCTGGACTTCAGCCGTCTTTAACCGTTAATACCTGATTTAATTATAATTCATTTGATCTTTAAACCTTTACAACATAATGCAGCTTCTTCCTAAAAAACAAAAACACAATTGGCCTAAAAGTGTCAGCGTCGCAGGGCGACCTAGCGAGGAGCGGGGAAGTGACGGTGAGACCCACACAGAGGAGGGCAGGGGCGAGTGGAGCTAGGGATGGATGGAGAGGAGGAAGGCTGAGCCTGGGTTGGTGAAGCCAGTAGTTAGTCGGAGCATCAGAGTGGTGAGTGGAAGCAGTGTTTAACTGGTCTTGCTGTGGTTGTTGTCCATTGGTGAGGCGGGTACTAGATCATGCGCAGGTGTGCATGATGAGGACCTGACAAGCATTTGACCTCTAAAAGGGTTTTTTATTTAAATTCGTCTTTATTCTTTAACGTAGACATACTGTACATATTTAGGTTAATAGCTTTAAAGTGTATATTGTCTCAGGCCCCCGTAGAAGGAAGCATGGCTTCTTGTTGGGCGTCACCCAGAGACTTAGACCCACTCACGTGCATTTTAGACCCAATTTTTATGTTTATGTTACAAAGCCGCCAATATTTTTCAACAACTGGGCATAATTTCTTTAATTTTCAACATTTCCATGGACGGTAAAAACTACACATTGTCTCTTTCAGTTATCTGAAAGACTCCTTTATATTTATGATGATTTTATTTAATTTTATGCATCAAGTGATGCACCTAAGATCAGACTAGAGTCGCTCTGACAGCTGAGACTGTCTGGAGTTATGGTTTTCTGCTTGACTGGAACATGGGATGAGTCTGAATTTAGAAGCTTTAATTCATTATCCAGTCAGTTCAGACCGTTTTTCAGGCCCTGTTGATAATCAGAAAATACGTGTATCATGATGCTGCTGCCGCCGTGCTTCTGCATGGTCCTCTCAGGTTAAATCAGGCTTTTACACTGCCTCTGTGCCTCAGGTTGCTTGCTGTATGCCATTTCTTTAGTTTTCCAACAATGAGTTTAATAATGCTTGGAAGAGCAGCTTCTGTTTCAGACAACTAAAAAAGTCTAGTTTGTAATTCCCCAGAATTAGTCCCAGGCGTGTTACGATCCTGCAGATCAGGTGAGTCCTCACAGGTGGACCCGTCCGAGCCTCAGATGCTTTTTGAGCTGGATATGAATTTAAACCCTCTAAGAACAACCGGGGTAAATACACGTCGTATTTTTGTTGTTTTGTGTATTGAAACAGCTTTTAAGCATTCTTATTGATATGTTATACCGGCAAGGGCGTCAGTTTGTTTTCAGAATAGCTGGGGACAATAACCGTACACTTGAGTGGGGTTTAAAAATTGCTGGGGACAATAAAGTAGGCTAGCACAGGGGTCGTCGGCTCTGGAGCCGCATGCGGCTCTTCCATCCATCTGATGCGGCTCTCTGTGCTTGTGAAATAATGAATGGATATTTAAATAAAAAGCTTTATATTTTACTGCATTAATTTTACATCTGTAAGCTAATTCTAAATGTAAAGATTGTCTGCGTAAACCTGAACAGGTCCAACCCGGTCTTACTGTGAGACCGGGTTGACGGGCCACGCTTGTGCGTAATCATATCGGCGCTTCTGAGCTGCTATCTGACCTTCCCCACCTACAAAGTTTAATTACAACAATCAAACGTGACAGAGCCTGGATTTGTATTCTGAACAGTCTAAACATGTTTTAAAAAGAAACGTATGACAAAAGTGGCACCTGCTCAGTAAAACCATCAACAGGGTGAAAAATACCAAAAATTGTAGGCAGAGACGGGCTACAACTTCTGGATCTATTTTATATAAGTCGTTTTATTGATTATCGTCTAATGAAAGATAATTAAGACGTACACGAGCGACCAGGCGCGTTGCAAGCTTTTCAAAAGTGTGGGGGATGTTGTCTGTGCCTAAAATAAGTTCATGTTATTCATCTTGTTAGTTTAATTTCCATAATAGCGGAGCAGGTGCGAATTTTAGACGCGTCACGCATGTCTCCGTTTTAAACATGTTTAAACTGTTCAGAATACAAATCCAGGCTCTGTCTCGTTAGATTGCTGTAACTAAAGTCTGTACTGAATGAAACTTTACATTAAACCATGTTGAAAAGTAAAGGATCTGATTAAATAGTTTCCCCCTCATTTACAGTCAGTACAGTGCAGTGCGCACGGCTCTGGGGTTAATCAAGTTTAATTGTAACATTAATGTGTTACTGGACACGCTGGTCTGGTTGGTTAGACCAGTGTTTGAAGTGGAAAACACACACACACACACACACACACACACACACACACACACACACACACACACACACACACACACACCAATTAAAATAATGCTGATAGCGTGGACTAGAAGACAGGTGATGGGTTACGTATTTAAATGATGATCAGGCTGCTGTAAAATGTAATCTCCATCCACATCCAGACAGAATTATCCTCTATTCTGTCTCTATTTGCTCTGCTCTTGTCTGGGCTGACATAGCTGACGGTGCGCGCGGCGGTCCTAACTAGCGGCTGTGATGCACATTTTACGCATTTGGAGAGGTGGGCTGGATGCTTTGCGTTTACTGGAAGATGGTCCACTTAACGCACGGGTGTAGACTACATATGAATGACAAATGAATGAAAATTAAATTGTGAGTTTTTACTTCATATTTTAGAAATTAAAATGACGGGGGAACACATTTATGACGTCTTTTTAAACTAAATTTTCCAGCGCGACCTGCCTGCTTCACTTAAGGCACTGCTTATTAAGGTCCGTCCAAACTTACCGTGGCCCACCCAAAAATGAAAACCTGGCGCCGCGCCTGTTATAAACCTCTGCAAATTGTTGTTCTTCACTTTATCAAACTCAGACTGTGTACAGCTAATGTCAAGATGTAAAATTATGAATTCAGTCGAGCTCTTCGTCCCTCCCTCTTCTGCTCTCCTGGAAACCCGACATCGGCTGTCAGAAGCGGGAGGTGAAGAAGGAGATGAGGCAAACAGAGTGAGTGCGACTAAAGAAACCAGACTGGTGTGGAGGTGAGCAAAACAGCTGGAAAAGTGAGGGTGTTGAATCCCCCACGGGTGCGATGTCCCCGGCTGCTGTCACCTGGTTGTGAGCAGCGCTCTGCTGTCTGAGGGTAGGCCCCGCCCGCAACGCTGCGGCTACTGCGGTGTTTTCTTTACCGTGGGAAATGGGTAATAATGGCTCTTTGATGGGAACAGGTTGCCGACCCCTGGTATAAGATCTGAGCTGGTAAAACAAAAATCCTCATCAGCAGGCTTTTTTGAAAGAGGGGGGGACACAGCTGCCAATCACAAATTTTGCCGGGGACATGTCCCCGGCGTCCCCGGTTAAAATGACGCCTATGTATACCGGCCCAACTAACTTGGGTTGGCACCCTGAGCACGTGTTTGTGCTGCTCTGGGATGTGGAAACCTGACAAAGTCCTGAAATTGTTTTACTTTTTATTATTTTTATTTTATTTTAGTTAGAATGTGTCAAACGGCACGGATTTAGTCACGTTTGAATAAAAAAGAAGGAGCTTTTCCCGGTTTCCTGGAAGAGATCGAACCTGAAGACATAACCGTGACCAGAAGAGTGCGAGTCCTCTCGTCCAGGTCAGGGAGGGTTTGTGTCAAACACACCAGGCCGTCCTCATGGATTCTGTGTTTCCAGGCTCGGTGGTGGGCCTGAAAGGAAACGCTGGTCAGAGTGTCTACAGCGCCGCTAAAGCTGGGTTGGAAGGATTCACACGCTCCCTCGCCAAAGAAGTTGCTTCTAGAAACATCCGAGTTAACCTGTTGGCTCCAGGTCAGAGCAGCTCCCATCCTTACATCCTGTCCTCACGGCTTCTTTAAAGCACATCTTCTTTCTGACCTGTTCAGGTTTCGTCCACACAGACATGACAGCAGAGCTGAGGGGGGAGGACGGAGCCCGCTCCATCCCTTTGGGGAGGTTTGGAATGCCGGAGGAGGTTGCCCAGGCCGCGCTTTTCCTGCTGGAGTCTTCGTACGTCACAGGACACGTGCTGGTGGTGGACGGAGGGCTGCAGCTGGCTCTCTAAACGTCAGAAAGATCCGTTTGTCCGTTTTACAGAGCTGAGCTTTTATCTCTGAGATTAAAGAATTTCAAATGTGACTCGAGAGATTTCTGAAATCCTTTGTAGCACAGCTGGAGACCGACACCACACCTTCCTCCGCTGTCTTTCTGCTGAGTCACCCTAAGCAGCCACAGCGTGTGGTGGTCCATCGTGACTCATGCTGCCGACTCCACCGTGTTTGGCTCCGCTCAGACCTCCAGGCCCAGAAGATTGAACTCCGTTGGTGTTTTTTCCGTGACTGTGGAACTCTCGCTGCCGAATCGGACACGCGTGTTTTGTTCCTCTGCATCCCTCTGGGAGATCCCCTTATAGCCCCCGCCACCGGGCCCCTGATCCCACCTCTGGTGGGGCTGCAGCTGGAGGTGGGGGCTCTGCTTAGCTTTGGGACTGTTGTGTGTGTTTGGACCTGCAGTGTGGATGTGATGAGAAATGAAGAGCTGCAGCTCTTCCACTAAAACCCAATAAGACCCTCCGTCTCTGGTGTGTTCAGCTCCAGCTCTTTCAGTTGTGTGTGAAAATGTGTTTGTTGGCATCCTCGCGTGTTTTAGATGAAAACATTTCACTCGGTTGCTCAAGAATTTAAATTTTATTACAGTTCTGAACCTAAAATAACATTAGAACAGTCCATAAACAGGCGTCCAATGGCATGAAGCCGTGCCAGCGCTGTAAATGTCAGCTGATGTCACTTCCTACCAGACACAAAAATGTATAATTGGTAAAGTATCACAGAGGAGGCAAAATAATAGATATAAATATATTTTAATCTTACATTTTTGTTTGATTTTTGATTGTTTATTACCCCTGAATAAAAAGTTATGTTTTATACATCCAGATAAAAGCTGATTGGCACCGTACGAGTGTCCAAAAGTAACATGCAAAGAATTAAAAGTGTTTAATTGACGTGATTTAAGGCAGTAAATATATTTATAAAACTTCATTTTCCTGCCCGAATTCCTGTTTGTTGGGAGAGGAAACAGGATTTAGTTTCATATAGAGATAAAAGATAGGGAGCGTGTGTGTGTGTGTGTGCGTGCGTGCGTGCGTGTGTGTGTGTGTGCGTGCGTGCGTGCGTGTGTGTGTGCGTGCGTGTGTGTGTGTGTGTGAGAGAGAGAGAGGCGCACCTTCACAGCACTTTTGCTTCTGAGTGAGGATGAATTCACGCGTCTAAAAAACAAAACCAGCAAAGAAAAAAAGAATCACCAGAATTAAACATCACCACTTCCCTCCCTCGGTCTGCTTCCACTTGTCGTTCCCACTCTTCCCATCGTCATTCCTTCATGTTCGTTCTGACCAGTGAGCTCCTCCAAATCTAAAGCTGGAAAAACATTCCACCTTTATCCAGGTTGGGACAGAACGAGCGGTGGACTGATGGGTCAGGACTTCATCTTCACACAGGTGGGACGAAGATGCAGCTGAGCTGAACCGGTTCAACCCTCGCCTACGGATAGAGCTGCTTCCCACTGGGAGGAGGTCCTAGGATGGATCCAGAACTCCTTCCTGGCCTGGGAACACCTTGTGATCCTCCGAGAGGATTAGGAGGGTGTCCCTGGGGAGAGGGACGTCTGGATTTTCCTCGTGGACCTGATCCATCTTCAGCCTGACTTTGGAAGGATTGCTGCAGATGGATGGATGAATCTGCTGCCTTTAAACAGCTCTAATCTAACAAAACTTTACTTTATAGATCATGACTAGCCTGCTGTTGCTCTTGGACCATTACATTCTGATAGGCAAGTGTAATAAACGGTTTATAAACCACAGTAGCTGTAAACATGTTTTAGATTAAAGCTGTTCAGATGCTTAGATGGTCAGATATGAACTGTTCAGGAACGTTCTCCACCATGAAGACCACTTTGACTTGATCCGCACACACACACTCTTTTAAAACAAACCTTGTGTCTTAATGAAAGGACGCTTCAGCTCCGCTAGCTAGACCCGGACGGAGACCAGACATCGGCACTAGCCCACAGAAACAGTCTGGATCTCTTTGGTTTCTTCTCTGCGCGTGACTGGTGAAAGGTGCTACCTACTGACAGTTAGTGTGTGTGACTGGCACCATTTGAACATGCATAGGGACTTTGCTGCATTGTTATGAATGCTTCCTGAAGTGAGAGGCACGTTAAAGGACAGTTTCTGCTCCTGAACAAGGGGATGCATGAAGACCTCGGCAGCACCAGCGCATTGCTTTTTGTTTCTGCAGTTCAGTGGTGGACAGGATTTCTGTCCTCGTTGTCTTTAGGTATGTCGCAGGGGTGCTGGGCGGCTCACGGGGGGGGGGGTGTCCTGGTTGCAAATCCTCGTCCAGTTCTTCACAGATCTTCACTTTCCACCAGGCCTCCTGGCGGCAGAGGGCTGGAGTCGGGGAAGAAGGCCGCCTTCACGTCCAGCCCCCTCTCTGTCAGCGCGGCGTAGCGGCTGGTGGAGGGACGCACCTTCTTGGGCTTGGGGAGGTTTGGCTGCTGCCACTGAGCTGGAGATGAGACAAGGAGGACTGAGTACAGGGACCAACCACTCTGAAGGAGTTGGAGTCGCCGAGGAGTTTGGGCCTACCGTGAACATCGAGGCGTGCAGTGCTGGACACGATGCCGGCTTCGTTCTTGGCAGAAACCGTGTACCAGCCAGCGTCTTCCTTCAGAGCTGGCTGAATTATCATACACAGGTAACCACAGTTGTCCTGGTGCATGCTGGGAGGTGCAGTTTATTGTAGTTATTATTGCTGCTTTAGAGGCTAGGGTGGGGATGTGACTGAGAGTAGATTCATCTACCTGATTCTGTCTGTGTTGTGTGTGAAGGACTCGTTCTCCCTCTTCCAGAAGATCTGAGGGTGAGGAACGCCGGTGACGCGACACTCCAGCCTCACAGGGTGACCCTCAGCGACGCTTGTGTTCTGCAGCTTCTCGATGAACGAGGGAACCTTATGCATCTCTTTGGCTGTGGGCGGAGAGTTTATTACTGAGCTGCACCGTGAAACCGAATCATTCATGTGTGTGTGTGTGTGTGTGTGTGTGTGTGTGTACCTGCAACAATGAGCTCCAGGTTGAAGGAGTTCTGGCCGGCTCTGTTGCTGGCGATGCAGGTGTAGATGCCCGCGTCGCGGCTCGTCACGGGCTCGATGACCAGTGAGTGCACGCCGTTCTCCCTCACCAGCATCTTGTGAGCGGAGTCGGGGCGGATGGTCTGTCCGTTCAGCTGCCAGACGAGGTCGGGCGTGGGAAGACCACTCACCTGCAGGTGGTTGGGAAAAAAATGTGTGAGTTCTTGTTCAGCTGGTTTGTGTGTGTGTGTGTGTGTGTGTGTGTGTGTGTGTGTTCACTGGGATTCTGAACACAGCAGTATTTGGGTAATCTTCCTGCATGAGAGTAACCTACACAGAGCAGAAACCCTACACCTGCCCTGCAAGGCCCACATGCTCCGATCACAAGTCCGACAGAATTCCCAGAAATTCCAAGGGAACAGCAGATATGTTTAAGGATTTGGAGTCTTTCACAGATGGAAAGTTCAGAAAGAGACAGATGAGCTGTAAATAAATGTTGTTAAACGTCTGTCGGACAGACTAATGCAGGTTGTGTTAACTGCAAGGACGAGAGGTGACGACGGAGCGGAAGGAAAACGATACATGAGCCGCACGTGTACAGCGCCTCTCAGAGTCAGGACTCCAAAGGGCTTTACACTACAGTGTGTCATTCACCCATTCACACACACACTGGTGGGGATGAGCTACCATGTAGCCACAGCTGCCCTGGGGCTGCCGAGCACAGGCGCCACCAGTCCCTCCGACCACCACCAGCAGGCAAGGGGGGTTAAGTGTCTTGCCCAAGGACACAACAGCAGAATTCTCTGTCCGGAGCCGGGATCGAACTTGCAACCTTCCGATTACTGGACAGCCCGCTCTACCTGTTGAGCTGCTGCTGCCCCGACGTGCCAAATCAGCACAAATGTAAGTAAATGTGGAAACCTGATCCCTGAGAAACGACACCTCTGAGTTTTCCGCCTGCTGCGAGTCATTTAGATCAACACGACAACCCGGAGAAGCATCGTCTCTACTGTTGTTCTCTCTCCACGAAGAAGCTGGAATGCTGAGAACTGGGAACTTTTTCTGTGGCAGCGCTGACTCGGCCTCCCTCTAGACGCTGAGTAAAGGGCGGATCTGAAACGGTTTCTGCATCACTGAGACTAACCTCTTGGTTTGGGCTTTTCCTCCAGTTATTTTAGAGCGATCCACTCTCTTTGCTTTATTACAGGCAGCGGCGTGGTGGGGCCATGCATCCATCCAGGCATCACACACACTACTTTACATTAAACTCTATATTTTGTAAGGTTTATTTTTCCATGTTTCATGGCTTATCCAGAGTTGGGTCTCCTCTACTGCTTCTGCAGCAGAGCTGTGTGTGTTCTCTTTACCTTACAGTCCATTCGGCACAAGCGTCCCTCCTGGACGATGAGGTCACCAGGTGCCTGCAGGAAGTGGGGGCGGAAGTGACGCTCCTGGATTTTGTCATTCTCATCTCCGCTGTCTCTAGACCTGGACCTGGATCTGGCAGAAGGATTTAAAACATTTAATTATGAGACGTACATTTGTACTTTTCTATTTTAAATGAGTCACTATTGATCAGCATCAAATCCACACTTTAGTTTTTATGCAAGTCCGACATGTCATCGTTTATATTTTTGTCTAAAAATAAAAGTTCCCATGCTGACCACCGTTCACCTCGTGTCAGTGACCAGCAGCAGCCTCCACTGCAGCTCCGGTGTTTCTAACTGGTTTCTACATCAACAGTGACATCAGCTAAGGATGGGAATGAAAAGGAGTGAGAGACCGACTGTTAACACAGCGTGTAGGCCTCATCTGCTCAGGGCACGGTCACCCAGATGACAGCTTACAGGTGGGTTTATGACCTTCAGAGCATCAGAGATGATTCGTCAACAAATGCACACCAAGGTCATCGGAGCAATGTCAGCCAGAGCAAAGCCAGCAGGTGTTCCCCGTCATCTCCTTTAATTCCTCAAACCAACCAGCAATGCAAACATTTCTGAAAATCTCTCGCAGCCTTCTCCGTTTGGATCTGTCAGCAGCACCAAAACCTGACAACTCACCGGCGCATTTGTCCGGGTGCCATTCGGGGGCTGCGGCCGCGCTGGTTCACCGCCTGGACCATCATCCTGCCGGTGCAGCTCACCCTGCCCTGGGACGGAGGGACACAGGGGTGGTGATGACACAAGAGGAGGAGATCAGATGTGACCGATAAAGCTGGAAAGTGCTGTTAAACAAACTGTTGAACACAAACTTTTGACCTTTCTGAGGGTGGAAGTGACTTCCTGCTTCATTCAACGCCTTCTTCCTGTTCAGGCTGGTGGCCGTTATCTCAGTACGTGTTCTGTTCTGCTGCAGGCAGTGTGTGTGTGTGTGTGTGTGTACATTTTCATTATCCCCGCCTGTTAGCAGGTGGGTGATGGTGTATTTGAGTGTTTGGTAGCCAAACATCTCAGGGACCACAAAGCGGGTTTTAACAAAACTCTCGTACAATTATTATTGGATATTCATCTAAAACTGATTCACTTCTGGAGTCAGTCCAGTTAAAAATCCACCTGGAGCTGGGTTAGAAATGGCAAAACATCAATGAGTGTCAGTTTTACACGTATTAAGCTAAAATCTGGTGTGTTCCTAGTTTAGAGAGAGGTGGGTGGTCATTCTTTTGAACAATGTAACCCTCTCAGGCTCAAAATGAGTTTCGATAAAAGGACGAACAACAAAGTCCTTCAGGGGAACTTCTGAGTTAAAGCATGCTCATGAAACACGCGTGTGGAGTAACCAGGTGGGTGGGTTTAACGGTGCTAATCTGCAACGCCTGCCTCCAGAGGGTTAAGCAATTTAATATTTCTCATTCTTCTTACATCAGGATTGGCTGCCAAGATGGTGTAATTGCCGTCGTCATCCAGCGATGCTGCTGCAGTGTGCAGAAAGCAGGTACCATCCGGGTCTCGGCTGATCCTGTAGTGCTCGCTCCTCTTGGAGATCTGCTTTCCATCTTTAAACCAGTAAACCTGTGGTGCAACACACACAGAAACATGCTCAGGTTTAAGTCCTCCTTTTCATGTGGAAACGGTGTGCAAGTGAAAAATGTCTCCATCATAACTATTGTAACTGTTACAGCCCTGACCCAGAGAAGGGTAGAACGCCCTCTCCGGGTCAGGGATGAGGTCCTACAAAGTTAAAGAAAGAGAATAAATCAGAAAATAAAAGCAATTCAAATTACAAAAAAGGTGAAACATTCTAGTAGAAGACAACTGTGTAAATCAAGGGAAAAAGTGAACCAATGAAAACTGTGAGATAAAATCAACAGATGCCTGAGGTGGCTCAGGCATCTGATTAGGATGCCTCCTAACGCCTCCCTGCTGAGGTTTTCTGGTCAAGTCCAACCAGGAGGAGACCTAAAAGAAGACCCAGGACACGCTGGAGGGGCTATGTCTCTCGGCTGGCCTGGGAACGCTTTGGGATTCCCCTGGAGGAGTTGGCCCAAGTAGCCGGGGAGAGGGAAGTCTGGGCCTCCCGGCTTAGGCGGCTGTCCCTGTGACCTGACTGAGCGGCTGAAAATGGATGGATGGATGTTACGGCTCTTTTTTTACCTTTTTCTACTCTTGGCCCGCCATCAAGGTGCTATTAACGTGTTCAGAGCAAGTCCACATGGCCTTTCATCACACACACACACACACGCACACACCAGCAGCTTGC